GAATGTGGAGCTCAGCGACAGCTGGGCAGGAACACGGGGTCTGTGCTGGTGCACCAGGGCCAGCAGGGGCCCAGAGTGTGGTGGCAGGAGTACAGGGCTGGGCTGGCAGGGGCTCTATAGCTGGGCTGGCTCCCCCTCTCCCTGCTGGCACAGCCTGGCATGGCTCCATAGAGCTCTGCCAGCCCACACCCTGCACTCCTGCCACCCCCTGTGGGCCCCGCACTCCTGTCAGGCTATCCCTGCACTTCTGCCCACTCACTGCCACTTCCCCCCACCCACCGTAGCCATATCTCTGCTGCTGCCACTGTTCCCCTTCACCCCCCACCAGTTGCTTCAGCACCACGTGGTTCCCAGCTGCAGCACTGGGCTGCAGGATGCAGCAGGAGCCTGCCCAGCCCCTGCAATTCTTGACTGGCTCTGTGCAGTGCCAGCTGGGCCAGTCTGCCTCCTGCTGCATCCTGTGGTCTCCTCCATGCAGCTGGGACATGGTGCTAGAACAGCAAGCTGTGGGGAGGGGGATGGACAGGGAAGTAGCAGAAGGGCAATGGTGGCAGATGCAGGGAAGTGGTTGTGAGCAGGAGCATGGAGCCGCACCAGTGCCCCGAGGCCAGGAGCAGCAGGAGCGCGGAGTACATGCTTGGAGGCGTGCTGTGGGGGGCTCTGCCTGCCGTGGGGCAAGGGTGGGGGCTGTGGGCAAATCCTCCCCCTCTACACATGCCACAAACCTCCCCAGCCACCCTCCCCCCACACATGCACCCACATGCTCCCCCACCCCACATATACACACCCTTCCCCACATAACCATGCACCTACACCCCCTACAATATACAAAACTGAGACTTCATTTTAAACTATTGTCCAATCACCACTATGTACACTACACAAACACATGTAAATCAGGACAAAAAAATGTTTTAATCAAATAAATGAATGTTGTAGTAAATATTTGATTTTTAGAATATAATTTGATATTTTGCTGGTTCTGAGATGGAAAACCCTTGTTGAAAGGAGTACTTTTGGGGGGCGGCAGGGGGAAGGACTTCCAGTGGCAAAGGTCAGGGGCTAAGAGGTGGGACTTCCAGTCCCAAGATGGTGACCAGGTGGTGGGGCACCTGTCAAGGGGCAGGGCTACCCTTGTGACCCTTGTCAGCTTGCCAAAACTTGTAAATGGCCTCCCGCCCAAAATAATTGCCCACCCCTGGATTAGCTCTATATTGCTGTATGTTTGCTAAACAAAAAAGAATGTTAAAATACTTAAAAACATCTATATAACTGCACTACTTCTGTACAATAGGGTATGACATCTTCTTGGCAGTTGGCATGGGAGGCATCCTTGCTTATTGATTTTTTTAATACCTAACTTTTTACAGAAAGAGTTTATAGCAGAAGAAAGTAAGCATTGATACCAACAAGGTCCAGAAAGCAGAGCTTGCTCCACCCCTCTACTCCTTGGCTGGAGCTCCGGCAAAAGTGCAGGCACAGCAGTATCTGCCTGGGTTCTCTTTGCTCCCTACCATCCACCACTCCCTGCTCAAGCAGGGATTCCCCCCTCCTGTCTCCCACAGAATGGACTGTAGCCAGCATATGGTATGCTAGCTAATGCTGAGAGGTGTCTGTGTAAGGCAGATAGGACAAAGGCAGGCAGGACAGTGTCCACTTAGGACATTTTGGAGCTAATCAACAGGTAGCTGATAATGTCCCTCCCATTCCTTCCTTGGAAAAAGCTGTTTAAGAAGAGCTTGAACTAATGAGATGGGCTTTTGTTTGGTTTTGAGTGCTAAATGCTGTCAATTCCCTGGGGTGCTAAATGGTGCTAAATGCTGTCAACTCCCTGTGTAACTCCCTGCTGTGTAACTAAATGTTGTTATCAACTCCCTGCTCGCTCCCTCACTGGTCAGGAACAGCAAGGGTGGTGGTGGGGAGCATGTCTAATCAGAGCATCTGGCCAGGCCTGGCCATGCCCCACCCTCTGCTCAGCACTATGGAAAGGAAGGGAGCGCTGCTCTAGTACCCCCTGGCTTCTAGTCTGAGCCACTGCAGGCATGTGCCTGCATTTCTTCAGTCCAGAGGAGATGTCTCCATGATTACAAACTAGTTTAGCCTAGCCAGGTTAGACTAACGTGCAAATACTGAATCAATTCAAGCTCAGACTATTTGAATGTCTGTCCCTAACCCAAAGAGGGAGACCTACATGGCTTGTGGGTTTACTTTACCAGCACTGGCTTTTCACCACCTTTCTCTCTCTCTTCCTCAGCATCTTTCAGAGCTTTGTTAATCCTGTTACCATAACTGGGGATCTCCCTTTACTTCCCGTATGAAAGGAAAGGTGACAGACATCTTCATCTTTTACTCTTCTCACTGAACTAATACATTTTAAGGAGATTATTCATTTTTGTGTTTCAGTGGTCTCTGGCAGGATGCTATTCCCATAAATATATTGTACCAAGATGTTGATCCAAAGGCACCTAAAATCATTGAGTCTTTCCATTGACCTCAGTGGGCTTTCAGTTAGGCTTTGTGCTCAGCGGAGTCATACTAATATAAGCTTGATGACTTCAAGAGAGCAGAATAAACCTATAGATATTCAGTTCTGTAAGGTGACACCTTGAAAATGAGGATGTATTTATGTCGAGGTGTCTAGACTTAACTTTGACACGTGGACTGTCCTTTCAGTATAAGTTATCTGCCTATGATTCCTTTCAGGAAATTAAACCATGGTATTTTCCTAATGTTTTATGATATTTTTATTGATTTAGGCGGGACTAAGGACACTTCATGACATTGGTCCTGAAATTCGTCGAGCTATATCCTGTGACTTGCAAGATGATGAGCCAGAAGAAAATAACCAAGAGGAAGAGGAAGATGTCTATAAAGTAATAATTCCAAAAATACCTGCTCAGAAGTCATGCTAGATCAATGCGGGTGAATGTCAGAGTCAGAGGCCAGAAGTTTAAAATGAGCACACCGAATAGTGCACAAAAGCCAGCTGAAAGGCTTGGGATGATAGCTGTAAGATGGTGCTGATGCCACTAATAAAGTAGAAATTTACATTGCACATTAGTGACATATTCTGAGTAGTCTTTAGGGTGTCCAAGCAGAGAGTGCTGCAGCTGTCTAATGTGGAAGGGCTAAAAGGGATGCTTGCTTAAATTAAAGCAAAAGGTCACAGGCAGGTATAGATAACTTTAACAAACAAGCTGGTAAAAAATTCCACAATTAGAAATGCCAAGATCAGTTGCTACTGGTGGGTTCATGTTGTTCAATATTCATGCATTTTTGGATAGCTACTATGTATTTGTTTAAATATTTGCAAATTTCAACATTTTTGCAAATTTTAGCACATGATTTTTTTTATCCAAAATCCCTTGGGCAGGGTTATTATTAATAATGTATTAATAGTTTAACAATTACTATTCTTAATGTTTTAAGTATAACTGAGCTTCTTTTTTTAATAAACTGTGGATAGCCAGCAAGAGAACAGTGCTATGCAGCTTAGGTGATTAGTTGCACATTATGAATAAAGTATAGCAATTCATAAGCAAACTATCTGGCTTACAGGTAGTACATATGATTAATCAGTCAGTGAAAAATGCCTACTCTGTTCATAAGCATATTACTAGAAACTACTAACTATGCCAAATATTCCTACAGTTGCCATATTTTATAAAAGAATGGTGTAGCACTGTGGGGTCAGACAACACCACAACTTCTCTCATTAGATGTCAACTAGCATTGCCTCTGTCTTCTCTAGATTGTGCTTCAAGATAAACTGCTGTCATCCAAGACCCAGACCTGGCTAGATGGGGAGACTGTGCCATCTGGGTCAGATGTAAAAGATAGCTGCATGTCATTCATATTTTTAGCAATAAAGTGGACATCACTTGATTATTTTCACTACTATCCATTGCATGCTGCAGAATTTCCAGGGCAGATGAGCTATTGCTCATAAATCCATTTTCCATTCTTTCCTCATACAGAGGTTTAAGTTAGTGCTATCCACTTCACTCAAATCTGTAGATGGTTGCATGGCACTTCTTGTTTCTGATAAGCATATGTTGCAAGTGGCTGATGCAAGAAAAAAACTGAAGCAAAGTCCATCAAAGTGTGTGTGTGTGTGTGTACACACAATAGATGCAGGGTAGGTAAAGTTACTTTGAGAAATTTGGTGTACCCTACAAACTACTAGACCATTGGGTACTTTGGGCACCACACTAGGTAGTGGCAAAGGAATGGAATGATCACTTCGTGTTATCAGTAACAGATATATCAGTCTGACTGATCTGAACATCATCACCAGTCACACGCAACTACAGAAAGCATCATGAAATCTCTGTCTTTTTTTCTTTTCTTCTTTTTTTAACAGAGGAATGGTGCCCTGTTTGGAAATCACATAAACCATGTAAGCAGTGATAGAAGAGATTCGTTTCAGCAGATCAATACCACACACCGTCCCCTGCATGTCCAGCGGCCTTCAATTCCATCTGCAAGTGACGCCGAGAAAAACATATATGCTCATGCAGGAAATTCCGTGTTCCACAATCATCATAACCACAACTCAGTAGGAAAGCAAGTTCCAAATTCAACAAATGCCAATCTCAATAATGCCAACATGTCCAAAGTTGCTAATGGAAAGCACCCAAACGTTGGAAATCATGAGCACAGATCTGAAAACGGGTATCACTCATACTCCAGAGTTGATCATGATAAACATAGAAGATCAAGCAGCAAGAGGTAAAGTTGAATTTGAGTTTAACATAAACAAGCATGTGAACAATAAACAAGCATACTGAAGCAGATATCATAATTTAAAAGAATAAATTGGATAGCAAGCTCAAAAAATGGTATTTTGCTATATGAAATTAATATTTATTAATATAGTAGGTTATGAGAGTAGTGGTGGTGATTTTTTCCTTTTTATTTTCTGTTATATATTGACACAGATAACTATGACTAACACAACTGATTTCATGTCCACAAGGATAACTCTGCTTACCTAAACAGACTATGTAATCTGCCTTTGCATTTTCTTAATGAACTGTGAAAATAAAAGGTATTCCTTTAAAACAGTTTAATTGGGCAGTCAAAATACAGAGCGATTGTGGTCACTATTGATAATGAATTTATTAAAATTATTTTATCTATCTGATTTAAAATGTTTCTCTCCACATTTTATGGCTTTCCTGGATAGAACACGATATTATGAAACTTACATTAGGTAAGTTATTTGTTTTAAGACATATATTTAAATATTGAGACAACACAGAGGGTCCCAAGGTTCAATTATTCTTACAATGAAAAAAACTGCAATAAAGTACCCCAAGTTAACTGGGCCTAGGTTCACAACAATGCAGATATTGAATAAAAACAATATAACATTGCTACAAAACTACAGTGACTGAGACAAATTTTGCACCATGTCTATACTGTAAATTGACTTCAGTTCTGTAGGCAGGGTTCAAAATGCAAAGAGAACTGCTGTTAAAAGCCAAGTGGGTTGATGCTTATTTCAGGATCTATTTAAATAATAGGTGGTTTCATCCTTTTTTGCTTAGACTGAAGGAAATAGTGTGGATTGCTGCAAGTATTTGAAAAGTTACTATATGGCAGCCAATCATATTTCTGGGAAAGGGAAAAAGAAACCATGTATGTCTCTGCATAAGTTTCTTGGTATAAGCAGTATAAGAAGTAGTAATCATTGTCGCTCTTTGAAGAGTATTACTTGATCTACCACTGACAGGATTTTAATAACTGGATTTGCAAAGCTGTTTTCAGATTTTGCTTGGAAAAATTCACTGACTGCTCCTTTGTGTTTTGGTCCATTGGCAAGTTGTTAGTATTTGAGAAATTTGTTTCTCACATACTGTAGAATTCCATCTTGAAAATGTTATTTTAAATGTGCTTAGCTTGGCTTTGGTAATTAATGAACTAAAAAGCTTGGCAGCCTACCATACTGGTAACCTTCACTTTCAAAAAGCAGAAAAGTAACCCTTTCAAGTAAAAAAAAAAAAAAAAAAAAAGAAGTCAGGAAGAAATACCCATGTACCTTGGCATAGGCTCAGGGGAGTTACTATAAAATATCAGACCCATGGTGAGAGAATGCATATGGCTCAAAATAAGGCACTCCAAAAGCACAGATTCAGGGGATAAAGTCTAATGAAATCCCAAATCTGTGTTCCAATTGCAGGTCAGAATCTGGTGATGGGCATCTACCCACTATTTGCCGTGAAGATCATGATGTTCGAGATTATTGCAATGATGATCATTATTTTGGAGAGCCCGAATATTTTAGTGGAGAAGAATATTATGAAGAAGACAGCATGTTGTCAGGAAACAGGTGAGCTCACTAGTCCTCTCTGGAAAAATTGTTAATATATTATGCACATATCAAAAAATCCATCCAAGTAAGTAGTACACGATTCCTAGAAAACAGCAGTGAATAATCGCAGAAAATGTGGGCCAGAACATGTTTGGGTGTGAAATGGAGACCCCCACAAGTCTGTCTAACAGAATTCAACAGGAGGGACAAAGGAATTTTAGCTGTTTTGAACTGTAGAGAAGCTGTATGGTCCCAAATCACAAAAAGCTGTTACATGTCCAAGACAAAATTTTGGCTTCAATATCACTAGGATCAAATTCACAGGGAGAACTTTTGAAAACATTTCCAGTTTGATCCATAACCTTAGCAGGATCCACAGTTTCTGTGATTCTCCCCTGACCCCC